AAGGAAGGAAGAAAAGAAGGAAATTTGGAAGGAAGGAAGTTTGGAAGGACGTAGGTTTGCAAGGAAGAAAGGAAATAAAAGTGAAATAAATGAAAGAGTGAACTATATGGGACAGTGATTTGATTAAACATGTGTTTAAAGTCATTTAGTTGCAGCTTTTTGTTGGTAAATTTTGATATTTATGGGCAACAGCTGCTAATGTTTTTTGGGAAAATTTGCAGAAATAGTTCTAGCTCATCCAGGTCGACTTCAGTTTCATTTTCACAGATACTAAAAACATTTTCAAAGAATTCTGAAAACTGAACAAAAAACAAATAAAACACCAGAAAAGTTTTTGTTTTATAAAAACGTTATTTATTAATACTTCAACATGTCTTTCTATATACAGTATTGATAAAAGGAACTATGATAAAGCCACAAATTGAATAGTTATTTTCACCAATCCATGTGATGATTCTGTTCTCACTGAAGGCTTATGGTAACACTTTGCCTAATTAAATAATAGAAATGTCGCTCCCTGCAGTTCAGCTCTACTGTTCCACACGCAGTTCCTTCAAAACAAACGCCTTCTGTCTGTCTGCTGCAGAAACAAACAATGATTCACAGCTGCCGGGTTCGTCTGTCCAGGAGTCGTTGGGCGGTGTTAACCACAAACTACATCAGGAGGTTACAGGTCGACCCCCTCATCTCTGCCTCACATGCACAAGCTTCCATTCTCCTCCTCAAAGAGTGACTCACAAAGAGATCATTTATTAAACTGAAAGGTTAAGTTCTGCCCTTAATCTGCCAGATTCTGTTTTTACAGTTTAAGACTGTTTTTTTAAATCATCCTACAACTTTATAAAACCACCGCTGATGGAAAGTTTTCAGTTGACGTCCCAACTCTAAACACAGAACTTTGGGAAGTTAGAAGATGTTTGGAATATTCCGTTTCTTTTTAGTTTTTATATCGTTTTGTACAATGGTGATTACAGGAGGAAGAGGAGCGCACCAAGCAGAGTTGATCAAAACTTTAAATAAAATGTGCCACCAGTGAGGTTGTTGGATTTGTTGCCAAACGGCAGCCGGTTTTTCAACATTACATTGTTCATTTCATACAACCGTGTACAGGACTCGCCAATCAAGTTGGAAATTCATACAAGGTTTTACGAAAATAGACGGAAGGAAAACGACTTGAAATAAAAAAAAATTACAGATTTGTGGACAGTGACCAACTGTCTGACATATAAAATGAACACACAGTGTAGCTAAACAGGTGTTGGTCATAAAATTAGAATATCGTGAAAAAGTTGATTTATTTCAATAATTCCATTCAAAAAGTGAAACTTGTATATTATATTCATTCATTGCACACAGACTGACAATTGTTTATTTCTTTTAATGTTGATGATTATAACTGACAACTAATAAAAAACCCAAATTCAGTATCTCAGAAAATTTGAATATTGTGAAAAGGTTCAATAATGAAGACACCTGGTGCCACACTCTAATCAGCTAATTAACTCAGAACACTTGCAAAGGCCTTTAAATGGTCTGTCTAGTTCTGTAGGTTACACAATCATGGGGAAAACTGCTGACTTGACAGTTGTCCAAAAGATGACCATTGGCACCTTGAACAAGGAGGGAAAGACAAAAGGTCATTGCTAAAGAGGCTGGCTGTTCACAGAGCTCTGTGTCCAAGCACATTAATAGAGAGGCGAAGGGAAGGAAACGATGTGGTTGAAAAAACGTGTACAAGCAATAGGGATAACTCACCCTGGAGAGGATTGTGAAACAAAACCCATTCCAATATGTGGGGGAGACTCACAAAGAGTAGACTGCAGCTGAAGTCAGTGCTTCAAGAACCACCACGCAGAGACGTATGCAAGACATGGGTTTCAGCTGTCGCATTGCTTGTGTCAAGTCACTCTTGAACAAGAGACAGATTCAGAAGCATTTTGCCTGAGACTGCTGCTGAGTGATCCAAAGTTGTGTTCTACACCTGAGCAGTGCCACAGGCTGATTGACTCTATGCCACGCCGCATTGCTGCAGTAATCCAGGCAAAAGGAGCCCCAATTAAATATTTTTTCATTTTCCCTTTATTTATAGAGTGTTGTACATGCACATACTTAACATGTTCATATTTTTCAGTTGGCCAGCATTTCGAAAACCTTTTTTTTTATTGGTCTTAATAATCAAATTTCCTGAGATACTGAATTTGGTGTTTCCATTAGTTGTCTGTTATAACCATCAACATTAAAATAAAGAAACATCTGAAATATATCAGTCTGTGTGTAATGAATGAATATAATATACAAGTTTCACTTTTTGAATGGAATTACTGAAAAAAAAATCAACTTTTTCATGATATTCTAATATATATATATATATATATATATATATATATAAACTGCGTGTTTTACAGAAAAACATTTTATCCTTAAAACTTGGTCGTTCCTCTTGGCAAAGATTCAGTTTGAAGTCCTGGCAGAAGGATTTCAACAGCAGCTCTTCTACAGCTTATTTTTTAGCATTAAATAAAATAACGTTTTAGTTATTTTTTACGTAGTAGCATGTGTATGTCTGCGTGTTTCCCCTTCATGGGAACAGAACCAGCAGCTTTCTCTGCACGCTGAGCCGAAGGGCACGGTGCTGAGCAGCAGGGTCGAGCTCCCAACTCTGCTGGATCTTCTTCAAAGCAGCGGTGACGTCAGACCTGAAATCAGTCTGAACACAAAACAAAAATAAAGTTAAGCTTGTCAGCCTGCCACCAAAAACTTTCCACAATCTTTCATTTTCCTTTTACGTACTTATTGTATCCTAATCACGCACTCCCACCTTGGCTGCCTGCTTGTCCACTTTTTCCTGACTGGGCGTCTCTCTGAGATCTGATCAGAAACTCATCCAGCCCTGAAGTCTCTGGTTCTGTTCAGACCTGGCATTAAAACTGTTCTTTGGGGGTTACAGGTCAGATTTAGGACCTTGTGAGCCTCTCATAAAAAAGGGTTTGCAAGTCAAGACACTGATTTAATTTGTTTCTCTGTCATTCACTTCCATTTTTTTTTAAAATCACTGTTAAAAGTTTAGCAATTACACATATGATCACAAAGCTTAAAATAGCATCACCAATTGTTCGCGTTTGATACCATTTGATATTTTAGTCTTTAACTGCTTATAAACTATGTTATACAACCTTTATGTACTATATTAAAGTATACTGAATGGATTGCCACACAACAAACAGACAACAGATGTAGCTGCTTCCAGGTAAATACACCTGTAAAATGCAGCTAGATCTCATCACTAATCTTGCAGCCAAATAATAAAATTGCAATTACAGAAAGAAAATAAATCATACTCTGATAGAAAATCCCAGAGCCTAAACTGGAGTATGTCTGTTCAGATTACTGTTAATATAAACTATGTTTAATAATAACTGGTTTTGGACTGAGTGCAAGGGTTAAATACAAATCAATTTCCCCCCAAAGTGCCTGTAAGTTCTGCTAAATAGAACTGTGCTGTGCCAAAATCTGGTTCTGTCCTATATCTGACCCTCATACTTAGCTAACTATTATATCAAACTAGCTACAGCAACATCAGAAATGCAGTGGTTCCAAACCCTGGTCCTTGCGGAACACCATCCTGCACGTTTCAGTTGTTTCTATTCTCCACCATGCCTGATTCAGTGGTTTAATTACTTCCTTATGTTCTGCAGAAGCCTGTTAATTTGCTTTCATTCAAATCAGGTGTGTTGAAGCAGAGGAACAACTAAAACATGCAGGATGGTGTTCCTCAAGGACTAGGGTTGGGAACCCCTGAACTGTATGTATGAATGAATTTTAAAGTTTAAGATCAAAAGTTCGCTGGTGCAAAAGTTTGTTCGACTCCTTTTGAAAGCTGCGCTGTGATGAAGTGGCTCTGGACTAATAAAGTTTTAAATATTTAGCTAACTTTAGCTGGGTGGATCGTCATCTTCATAGCAGAGTTAACAGATAAAAACTCTGTTTGGATCAAGCAGACATTATATGTGATGATTTCAAGTGCACCACCAAGACAAGAAATTTTAGAGTGCCACCATGAAACAAATTATTTTTGTTGCTGGTTGGATTTCAGCCAAAGCATTTAAGCTATATGAACAAAAAAAAACAAACAAAACAAACAAAAAAAACCCAGCTATGGTTTATGTATTGAGCATCATCTTCTACATATATCTTGAGTTTTTAACCAAACACTAAATACACATTTGATACGGATGCACAATATTGGATTTTTAGCTGATATCCGATATGCCAATATGATACCAATATTTTTCCCCCTAGACCTACTTACAGAGACTACATATCTTTCTCTGCTGTGGAATTAAAATACTACATTATGCTGCAAGGTCTTTGTCAGTTTGGCCTGCTACCAAATGCAGATGCCAGAAAGTGATGTATGCCTGAAAAATATATCGTTGAGTTATTTTGATAGAATGGCCGACGTCCGATATTTATCTTCATCTCTAATGTTCGATAGTAATACCATGCCGATAATATCATGCATCCCAAGTATTTAAGTCACTTTGTAAAGCGAGTCGATGAATGTAGATTTTTTTTTTTTTGCTTGAAATACAGATGAACAATACAAATATTTTTGCTCTTCGGTGTGTATAAATATAGACAGACGCATCATTCCAGCTGTGGCTGCAAAGTTCAGAGTGTTTTAAGTGATGGAGGAGCTAGAGGAGAAGTAACCACAGCTGTTTCACTTCACTGGAGGCCGAACGACAACAGGGGAATTTCAGCGTAATGCATCAGAGCTCATTTTAACTTTAAACCACAGAGTTGCACAAGCTGACCAACAAACGACAGGGCAGCCATGATAAAACGTTGCAAGGATGCTTTAATGTTCATTATTGTGCCATTTTAAATTAAATGATATAAAGTTTCTTTCGTCTAGAGGTTTTACAGAGGATTAAACTTCTTGGATGTAAAAATGTCATAAATTTATGGGCAGAGATTATAGTTGATTCATAGACTTCAAACACACTCCTATCTGAAAATGACCAAAATAAAACATGACATGAATTCCAGAGTAAAAAAAAAAAAAAAAGGATGTCACAGCTGTGTGTTCATGTGCCAGTGAAGAGATTTGGAGATTACGCACTGAAGCAGAATCGACCCGTGTAGCCTGAAAGCCAAACAGAGCAAGAACGATGAGTTCACTTTCCTGTTAAAAAGTCTGAAAATCGAAAGTTTCTCACCAGCAGGTGTCGCCGGCAACATTTCAGGAAGTTTTCTTTTGCTACCGTTTCCTTCGTCTAATCTAACGGGAGCAGGCGGCTCTGCTCTCTGGATTCAAGGTCCAAGTTTTTACTGCGATTTAAACAGGATGTGGTACAAACCCTTTACTTCCTGCTGGCCTGCAGAGTCAAAGCTGCCAGCAAAAACATTTCTGCAGGTCACAACTTGCTGATTTTTATCACTGGTCAGCTTTGTGTCCATAAACCTGCTGTATAGTCGGTTTCTTTCAGTTTTTTGGTGCGGCCTGAAAACCACAGACTTTATGGTTTTACTGGTAGAGCTTTGCCCATTCTTCCCAACAGAGATTGAAGCAATCAGAGGCTAAATATTGCTCACACTCGGGCGGTTCATTCATCCAACAGGACTGCACCCAGAGATTTACTCAACATGAAGCTTTACTTTGAGCTGCGACACAGGAGGAGTTTCATCCTGTGGACAGACTCAAACCAAAGTGTGAATCACTTTCTTCATGTGGTAATAAACTATAAAGTATAAACTTAAGCAACTATTTGTATCCCCTGTTAAGCCTAACAGATGGTTATGTTTTGTAATTTCTTGTTTCTTTTTTAGATAAAATTCTACTAAAAGTTCATGAAAACAGATTTAGATTTATCTTCTTCAAAATGAACAAACAAGTTTAAGAAGGATGTAGCATGTTTGAATACAACCGATTTATTCTAAAGGTAAAAAGAAAAAATATTCTAACTTTCTTACTAAGAATAACTATATCAGTTTAGTTTGTTTTCTTAAAGGCCAACAGCAGCCTCCAACCTGCTGTAACGCATGAGTTTAGCTTCATTTGTTCATCTTTTTAAGAGCCACAAAGGCTTCAAAATAAAATCTGAACAGAATTTCAGAGGACAAGTAGGGAATTTTTGGTCCAAGGTTACGGATGTTTTTAACTACTATGGCTCAGAACGATAACTCTGCCCATGAATCACATGTTTGGGTTAGCAGAGAGAGCTGGGTGAGTAAGTGAGTGAGGCTGTCGCTCCAAGATCGCCTCAGAGTCTGGGAGCTCAGCTGAACTGATAAGAGAAAAAAAACAAGCTGCACACGCAGCTCGCAGATGTGACTAGTCTTTGTGTTTAGGCCTGTCGCGATAAACAATAAATCAATTAATCGCATGATAAGTGAAAATTATCAACCTCATTTTCATTTATCGGCTTTATCGTTTCTTCGTCTCTCTCTTCCTACTGGAGACACTGGATGACAAAAAGCTCAACTCCGGTGCTCTTCACTCACCTTTCTCTTTAAAATCTGCTTTAACTGTCCAAAATCATGTTTTTGGATTATTAAAAGCAGCTAAGCTGAGAAGCTAAGCTACGAGCTAAGCTAACAGGCCAAGCTCGGGTCTTGTCAAAGCTCCAAAATTCACAGTTGAAAACTGTGTCTTGGTCTAAAAAGTTGTTTTTCTCTGCAAAAAGAAGCTGAGAACTTGTTTGCTGATTTTTTTATTAAAAGCTTTGTGTGAAAAATGCTTTGCTAAAAAGCTCAAACCACACTGACCAGCCGCCATTTTGAGAACCGAAAAAAGAAAGGAGAGACAGCCCATGTCACATCAAGGGGCCTCCCTCACATTTTTCTTAAAGAGACACGCTGTTCGCTCCCTCACTATCCATCCTTTGGCTCAAACAGTCTTATACTGCCATCCAGTGGTTAAAAAAGGTACTACATACAAAATTAGCCAACATTTCTTCTTAAATTTGACAATTATTAATTATTGTCAAATTTCAAACAATATTATCGTTTATCGCAATATTTTCTGAGACAATCGCCCAGCAAAATTTGTTATCGTAACAGACCTATTCGTATGTACTTCCTGTATATCTGTGTAACCTGTCCTGAAAATCTGACCTTGCAAGTAAAAATCAGTTAAAAATCTTCTCCTGCTATCGAGTGTGGTTCTTTTTGAGCAAGTAAGATAAAGCGAGAATATTTTTTCTCCAACAAGTAAAGGACACTCAGTAATATGGACATTTTTCACATCAGAAACACACACGTCTCACTGAAGTTCGAAGTGCTCACATAAATGTTGGAGTAGCAGGAAAGTGTTTCAGTTTCCAATGACAGGGTTTATTATTTTAATGAGAGAGAAAATGTTTTATTTTCAATGAACACGATAAGCCTAACTGCAGTCCGAACCGAGACAGTTCTGTAAATCTTTTAAAAAGGTAATAATTGAACTTTCATAGAAGAAATTTATAGTGTCTTCCCCCCACCCCAATTTCACAAGTTGAAAATAGAGCTGTCATTTCTAACCCGGGCCCGGCCTGACCCAAATTTGGGCCGGGCCATGATAATGTGCTGGGTGGGTGGGCTGGATCAGTGTCGGACTATTGATTGCGTCAGCAGATCAGCTGTTTTCCAAATATATGGCAACATGGCTTGCCATATTATCCAGTTATATGGCAACATGGCTTGCCATATTATCCAATTATATGG